TGATTTTCATATTGTCTTTAAAATCTGGTGTGTGTTTTACACTTACAGCACATCTTAATTCAGACTAGCCACACTTCAAGGGCTTACCAACCATATGTGGATGGTAGCTATTATATTAGATGGCACAGCTCTAGAGGAAACTGATGGTCTTGATACTGTTGGATTTCACTCACAGAGACATCTTTACTGTTTGTCAGCCCACTGACAGCATGGCTGTGTGCAGCCCTGGTCCTGTGGTCTTGATCTTGGCTCTACTTCACATTGACCAGCTCTAGCAATTTGCAGTTGAAAAGCCTTAATATTATTTAATCACTTTATTATCACCAGTGTGCATATAGAATTATCACAAAATCTACATTTGAACGAAAAATAATAAACAGTGTATCTTTAGAAAACAATAAGAAATCAGCTTTTAAAAATCTCTGTCAACACAACTTGGCAGGAAAGCAAAGCTAATATGATATCAATTGTAAATTTTAACCATGGAAAGTTTGGACAACTATAAATATCTTTTACTTAAGAAGAGGGCAAAGAAGATAAAATTCACTTAAAATAAAAATTCATTAGTCAAGGCATTTACGACTTGATGTCTCATCCAAATATCTAGATGAAAAGTTTTTTGTTTAAGCTCCATTTTGACTGATAGCTAGGTAAATTTTGATAATTGCTATAAATCCCCCGAGCCATAGTTTCTCCAGTTGTCTATGGAGAATTTACAAAACAGTTCTAAAATTTAAATAAAATAAGGTAATGTAGCAACACTATAGAAACAAAATGCATTATCGCACATTGTAAAATCATTAGAATAATATTTTTGCAGTTGAATTTAAAGGGATTGCCTGAGATATTAAATTTCTAAATTCCATGGTTACTGGTAGATCTGAATTTTGGAGATTATAAGAAAAGAAAAAAATACATAATAAAGCTAAATTGAAGAAATAATTTTCAGAATGATAAAATATATTCATAAATTGAAACTTCTTAGCATTTGAGTTATTGTAAACATATATGCAGAGACACAATGAATGGTTTTTGCTAGATTGATTTTTAAGGATACTGAGCACGGAAGGCAGCAGTCTAGCTGTAGAAGACTTGCTGCGAAGGCAACGCACAATGACCAAGAATGGACAGATTTCAGCACTTGGTTGACGTTCTTTTATAAAAAGTCATGGAACTGAATGGTCATTCACTCAACTAAATCCCAGAATAATTATGGATTATTGAATGTTAGAAGAATGCATCATTATGCATTGTTACCTGTATTTTCTCCACATTTGCTGGAAAATGGACTTTGATTCTTTGAGAATAGCATGATAAGTTTACAACTCTTGAGTTTTCAACAATTTCTTTCACTACACTCATAAAGTCACCCAAGAAATTTTATTGTTTGCATTTGTGTGTTTGATCACCAAAGAATGTCAAGTTGCTATCCATGTCAAGGCAAGAAAGTGAGTATGTTTTCGTACTATTTTAATTGCTAGCCAGTAAGTAAAATATCAATTTAAGAAAATTTGATATACAAATATCCAACATATGAAACAGATATATTTTGAGGATGATTAGCAATTTGAAAAATAATTCATCATTTTACAAAATAATTCACCATTTTTTTTTTTTACATAGCCAGTTTCCCTACTAAAGTCAACATAGATTTATTTGCACAGAAATTTTCAGGAATACATTTGTTGCAAACTATGAGGCACATATTTTGGTATACAAGTACTTTCTTGTAAATGGGGCTTCTGAAACATACCTGTGATGAATGAAGTGTTGTAAATTTAACCTTCAATCTATTAAAGTTAAATTGAATTATCAAAACACTCCTCGACTCAACTCAGGCAAAAAATTTTAAAATAATTTTTTTTTAAGATTAAGAGGGCATGTACCATAAGAAACATTATTTATACAAATGGAAGATGACCAATCTATTAAAGTTAAATTGAATTATCAAAACACTCCTCGACTCAACTCAGGCAAAAAAATTTAAAATAATTTTTTTTAAGATTAAGAGGGCATGTACCATAAGAAACATTATTTATACAAATGGAAGATGATTTCAAACCTCCGATTGGTATTTAAGAATTTCTGTGAATAGATACATGAATAGAAATGGAAAGAAATCCCAAATAACTAATTTAAAGAAATCTAAGAAACATTATCCTTTTGCTTGCAATCCTGCTGTTGTTTTGTTTTCTTATTCTAGTCCTACTATTTATCTTCATTAATGCTACATATATCACTACATATTTAAATATTCAATTCTAGGTCATCTGGTACTGTACCCAACAATACCCAATATGTTGTTCATACAAATGCATCTGTCGGTGACATCTGAGGTTTGTAGAATCAGCATTTCTGGGACACTGAAAAGGAGAGCATTACCTGCTCCAGGTTAATCTCTCTGTTATCAACATGTTTACCTATAAAATATCAGTAAGGTTAATCTCTCTGTTATCAACATGTTTACCTATAAAATATCAGTACCCTAACCCCTGATATTAATAAGCTTCTAGGAGAAATAATTTTGCTGCTTTTATTGTTTTTGGTGTTGTTTGAAGGAGCAGAGGAAATCTAAAATTAAATTCTGGTAAAGTATATACAATGGTGATAATATAGGGTCTTTACTTTGAAACAACAATAATAACAGCAACAACATC